GATGGAGCGTTAGCCCATCAGCGTCCCCACGCCGAGGCGAGCCCGGGGATGGTACTAGGGTTGGAGAGGCATCCGCCGCTGCCGCAGCCTGGTCTGCCATCGCTCGCATCGCCGACGGCGTCGGTGCTGTGGGGGAATGGGAGGAAGGAGCTCAGCTCCATGCCGTCTCAAGGCACAGCATATCCCTGTCCCGGTCCTGCCTTCCCCATCAGCATCGCCACGAACCACGGAGCAGGAGCGGGGTGCCCCCGGGGACTCTGTCACCGTGGGCTGGGTGCCTTCCAGCCTATTTCGGGATGCCCTTGGGGCCGTGGAGCTGTCAGCAGACGGGAAGCTCGTGGCTCTTCCTCCACTTCCCAGCAGGGATGGGATGGAGAGAGCACCGTGGTAAGATGAGCTCAATGATAGCCTGCGGGGAACCGCTTGTATAACGAGGATAAACCTCAGCTGGGCAATTAGTAACGGTCAGAGCCGTAAGCCAGGTCTGCAGCAAAACAAGGGGGATTTTCCCGCTCCAGGACATTCTGTTGGTGCCAGTGCAAGTGCAGGGGCTGTGAGGGGGGATGCAACATTGGCAGGCAGGACTTTCTGACTCCTCTAAATGTTTCTTGCTTAACCAACAGCAGTTTGGTCCTTGCTTAATGCATTGCATGAAGCTGAAATGAAGCAAGCCCGAGCTGTGGCCCCAGTTCAGCATGAGGATGCTCTGAAAGCAGGGGGTCGGTAATGTCTGTTTTTACTGGAGAGGGCACAAAAGTTTTCCTAATGCAAAAAGTCTCTGTAGCCCTGAGGGCGTTCCTGGCCATGGCAAAGTGTTGTCCCATCCCCAACAGCCACTGCGATCCCTCCATTGCTGCACTCCTGCCAAAGCAACGGGGCTGACCCCGCTCCCGAGCTGTGCCCCCTGCATGATTTTGGGAGGGAGGACAGAGGCTGCAGGACGGGCTCTGCAGGGCCATACTGGGACTGAGCCCAGCACCCAGCAGGTTTGTGGGGTGCTCGAGCTCCGTCACTGCCCTCTTCCCCTGCCAGCATCCCTGCGGCAGGAGCCAGGATGCTGTCCCAGGGGAGCCGGGCTGAGCATGACCCGGCTACTGGCAGGTGCTTCCCCTCGGGCTGCCTTACACCCAGCATCCACGTCGCCCTGGATCTTCAAAGCATTTCACTGCCACGAATTAATTACAGGCTGTGCCGCAGCTGCCTCCAGCGCCATTTATATAATCTCACGTTTCGCGGCTTTTGCTTTGCTTCTGATTTACAGGAGCCACTTGTTAACCCCAAATAATCCATGGGTGCTTACCCCGGTAATACCCAGCACCTGGCAGAAACCCCGGCTGTGGGGCTGGTGCCATCCAGCCCGCGGGCAGGGCTGCCAGCACTGCGGGCACCGCCGGCAGCCCCCGGCAGACGGAGTGGTCCGGGGCACTAGGCAAAGCACCGAAACAGCAAAACGGGGAGCGAGCAGAGGGAAATGGAGCTGGGCCTGAGAAAGGACATTTTCCCTGATGCCATGGGGCCCTGTACACCTCCCGCCCAAGCATGGCAGGTGGGGGGCAGCTGGGACCCCCATTTGCCTCTCATCGTGCAGATTTCTTAGTGGCCCCACAGCCATCCCCAGTGCTGCCTATCGCCCTCCCTTGCCCTTGGCTGTGCCTACCAGAAAGCCCTGGGGCTGGTCCTCGGCTGCTCCTGCCCGGCCGCCGCTCCCCGTCCCTGCCGGTTTAGGGGGGCACCAGCTCCCCGGCGCTTGGCAAGGGCTCGGCACTCCTCTGCTTTGCCGTGCCTGCCTTTTCGTCACCACCACTCCGGTATTTGTGGGTTTTAAAAGCTAAAAAAAAAAAAAGACGACTGTTTCCTGAGAGACCATTAGCACAGTGGAAGACGGAGATAATAATAGCCTGGGTTTGTATGGGAGTTTTCATCTGGCAGGGACGTCAAGTACAGCGGGGGCTATAGATATGTTGCTGAAACGCAGCCACCTCTGGGGAGCGTGGGTGCCTGGGAGGGTGGGGAGCACTGGGGATGGACCCCACTGGGTGCCGTGGCTGGACCACCAGCACCCCGAGATGGAGGGTCCACACGGAGCAGCCCCGGTGAAGGCTTTGCTGCTGGCTCAGGCTTCAGAGAGCAAATATCGAGCCCAGAGGTACCCCTGGCGCTGACTCCTCGGTGCCAGCACTAACCTACCATCCAGCCCAGAGCTCGTCCCCAGCCTGTGACCATGGGGGCATGCAGGGTAGGGGGAATCTTTTTGCTCTTTATAGGATAAATTGAATATGAAGGTCCTTGCAAGTATTTTCATCCAGCGCCAGGGGTAGCTGGGTGGGCATGGCTGGGCGATGGAGCCATGGGGATGACAGTGGCTTCAGAGGCACCAGCAAACAGCTCTTGGGGGATGTTCCCCACAGCCTCCACACAGCACCTGCCTTGCGGAGTTTTGTGAGCCCAGCCCCAGTGGTACCCAGAAGGGATCGGTGCTGTATGGGAGGTCCCTTTGAGGAGCAGTGCTTGGGCCACCCATCCCGGGAAGGTCACGTCTCTGCAGAGCCTTGAGAGCTGCGAGCGCCCCAGCTGGGCAGGGACACAAGACCCCTAATGACTGCTGACCCCCCTTGCTGCTTTCGAAAACACCAAAGCCATAAACATCAGCAAGCCTCTCCGCTGGACCCAGGCTCTGAATTTCCTCTCCCTGCTCTCAGCTCTGGTTCAAATTCAGGGATTGGACTTGACCTGGCACAGAGACAAGCTGCGGCCTGGACCAGGCTGGTGTCTTTGAGCATCTCCCCCCAAAATGCTCTCTTTACATGCCCGAGGCAGCAGGACCCTCCGCGGCACGGCACAGCACGGCACAGCGTGGTGCTCCCCGGCATTAGCTCAGCCCAGGGTGCAATACCTACAAACCGCTTGGAAAGAGAAAGTTTCCCCACGCCGGGATCTGCCCCATCCATGCCCTGAGCCGCTCGCTCCCAGGTGGGCACTGCTTGACTGGTGTTTGCTTTTGTTGTAAAATCAGGGAGAGTTAATTGAAAAATTGATTTCCAGCAGCCCTCTCCAGTTAATGAGAGGTGACGGTGGCTGGGGCAGAGGGCTGGCACTGCCGGCGGGGACGGTGGCACAGCTCTGCCTGGGCGCAGAGGAGGCTTTCATCACCCAGCCAAACAAGCTGGAAATCCCTCATCTAATTAACTCCACAATATACCGCTACAGAAACCAAATTGCTGCGGTTATTAGCGCTGTAACTGGAGAGCTCTCTGCATTATCCTGTGATTAAGGAGCGTGGGGCTTTGAAGAAAGTCTCACTGCAACCTCAAGACATAACTTTGGGCAACGGGTAGGGTAGCATGGGATCCCAGCTCTGTCTTCTGCTCCCGCTTCCGCATCACATCGCTCCTTCTCAGGGGATTTACTGGTGGATACTGGAGTGGATTTCATGCTGCTGGGGGAGCGAGGACCCCGGCAGGCTTTGGCACTGCATGAATGCCTCCAGGGTGGCTGTTTCTGCTAGGGTGCTCAGAGCCACCCAGCCCCAGCACCCGGTCTGGTACCCAGTGACCTGCACCCAAAGCCCCCCCCTCCCTGCGCTGTCCCAAGGCTTGAGCTCAGCCCTGCCTCTGCTATGGACTTTGCTTTGCCCCCATATCTCGGCCATCCTCATCCTCTGCCCATCTTCCCCAGACCTTCGCATCCCTCGTGGCGTGGCCCCTGCAGCTCACAGGAGAGCTCTCAGCCCTGGTTTCACCAGGACACAGCCCTGGGGAAGGACCCAAATGGTTCACCCAACTATTTCATTAGCACAGGCACAGCTTCACCCTCTGAACTGGTTAGCAGTTCAGACGTCCAGGCGGACGATGCTGCGGAGACACGGGGGCCCAGTGGCCGCTGTGGCTCCTTCCACTGGCTGAAAATCTGCGCCCCAAAGGCGTACACGGCCCTTGAGTCTATTTGGAGCCTTTCCCGACACCCCGCTCGTTTGATCTCGGTGGATCATAAAGTGAGGTGCTTTCAAAACAGCAAGTCACCCATTCTCCGCGCGGTGACACGGTGCGTCCTCGGCTCCCCGCCGCCCCACGGTGCTGCAGTGAGAGCCCCTTCCTCCCCCTGCCCGGGTGCCTGCCACAAATCATCAATCCCTGGGGCTGGAGTGGGGAGCTCAGCCTGCCCGAGACGAAAGCCTGACCTAATTCAAACCGGCAGCATCCAGCGGGCAGGAGCGCTGGCCCCACGCGGGGTTTTCCATGCCGGGCGCTGGCCCCACGCGGGATTTTCCATGCTGGGCACAGCCCCAGGGTGAGCTCCTGGCTGATGGACACGTTCGGTGGCATTCGGGAACAGGGACCCATCCAAGCGCTTTGTTGCGGGCTGCAGGGCTCTGGCAGCAGGGCCGGCTCCTTGGGACAGTCCCTGGCTTCTGTCCGAAGGGTGCCGGCATTTTTGCTCTTGCACCAAGAAAGGTGCCATTTCTGTGCGAGCCCGCTGGATGAAGGCTCATCCAAGGCATCCTCAGATAAAACTAGGGAAGAAGAGACTTGCGGTGCGTGGTTTTTTTGGAAGGAAAAGGAAGCCGCACGCAGCTCATCCCTTGCCAGAGCCTGCCGAGCAGCCGGCTGCCTGCGGTTCACCTTCAAAGCCCTTACCTTTGCCACATGCCGGGCTGCTGCCTCCTCCTCCTCCTCCTCCTCCAGGAGCCCCAAGAAGGGACGCAGCTCAGACCCCGCATCCCTTTCCCCATGCTGGCCTCCGTGGGGAGGGTCCCCACGGGTGACCCCCGGCTCTGCGCTCCCGGGGTGGCGGGACGGGTGGTCCCCACGGAACCTGCACCCGCATCCCCATCCACTGAGCCCCTGGCGTGTGCGTGGTGGGGGAGCCCCCGGTTTGTCTCAAGAGCTGCCCGACCTCCATCACCCACCCCGGGCTGCTCTGCGGGGTTGGGGGGGGGCTGTGGTGGCCCCGGTCCCCTCCCCGCGGGTCCCCGGTTCCCGCAGCGCCGGTACCTGGGCCAGATGGGGGGTCCCGGTGCCGCCGGGGAAGGGTCGATCCTGGTGCTGGAGAAGGACGAGCAGCCCCGGTGCCACCGGCGAGAAGGACTGGTCCCAGTGCCGGGGGAGAACCGGTGTTGGTGCCGGGGGCCGGGGAGGGGGGGGAGGATGACGGGAGGGTCAGTCCCGGTGCCGGGGGAGGACCGGACCCTGCACCGGGGAAGAAGAACCGGTGCTGAAGGAGGCCGGGCGGTCCTGGTGCGGGGATCTGATGTCGGTGCCGGGAGAGGAGGGTCGGTGCCGGTGCCGGTGCCGGGGGTGAAGAGCCGGTGCTGCAGACGGAGGATATCCGTCCTGGTCCCGGTGTCGGCTGTGGATCACCGGTACGGGGCTGAAACTCGCCCCTCTCCAGCCGCCGGTGCCGGAGCATCCGCAGGACCGGACCGGGGCCCCGCTCCGCCCC